AGACTACTGTGTGTGGGGGCGTAAGTATAAATGTCTGCGTACTCCAAAGGAGTGTGCATACTTTCTTGTGGGGGTATGTACATATGTGTGAAATCTAACATCAAATTAAATAAAATGTATGTCAAATTAAAAGTTTTGAATTGTTGTTAATTTGTTTAATCAATGTTCTAACCTCATGAGATAAATATTGACATTTACTTATGAGTTGTTTCTGGAAAACAATGTCAACAAAATGCCTGGTCTAAAAATTGCGGCTTTGATATCTTAATGACATGAAATTCAATTGGATCCACACACAAAATTGTTTTAAATGTTATCATGTTAACCTCAAAGAATAATTCTAGTTTGTTTGCTCAATAATTAATTCACACTTTAAAGGGATAGTTGAGTTCTGTTGCAGAGGGCGCTACACAAAATAATTGTTTTGTGAGATAATAAAAAACCGAGTGTCAAATTTGAAAGAACATAATATTTAAATGACAAAACCATCTTTGTTTGATCAAAATCGGTTCAGAGACGGCTGAAATATAACGATTTCTAAAACTAGTGTACCACCACAAATATTAGATATTTTGAAAAATTTGAAAAAACCGTTGAAAAAAACCGAAATAACGCCTTTTACGTCGTATTTCAGTCAATGCCGATGGTGGCTTTTTTTGTTGGCATTTTTGTGTTGCTTATATTACCCACAATTAGCCGGCTCATGTATTGTTATTTTTAATTAGATAATTAAGTAACGGTCACCGTGTTTTTTTTTAAAGTGGAGCTGAATTGGTATGATCGTTTTGGCTAAATTTCACACATATTGGGGTCTAAAATTACGTTCATAGCAATTTTAGGTTCTAAAAGGGCACTATAAACTGCATAGATAAGAATAAGAGCAAAATTTGAAAAAACCGTTGAAAAAACCGAAATAACGCCTTTTACGTCGTATTTCAGTCAATGCCGATGGTGGCTTTTTTTGTTGGCATTTTTGTGTTGCTTATATTACCCACAATTAGCCGGCTCATGTATTGTTATTTTTAATTAGATAATTAAGTAACGGTCACCGTGTTTTTTTTTAAAGTGCCCTTTTAGAACCTAAAATTACGTTCATAGCAATTTTAGGTTCTAAAAGGGCACTATAAACTGCATAGATAAGAATAAGAGCAATAATCATGCAATTTGAAGGCATTTGTGGTCTGAAAACAGAACTCAACTATCCCTTTAACCTAAAATATTCTATCAGACTGAATATTGTTATGTGTAATGAAAGTAGGAATTTGTTTGGTTCGTGATATTCAGTAAAAAAAAAAAAAAAAAAAAAAATGCAAACAAAGCAATGCGACATTACTACTTCCTAAAAAACAAAGTAGAGGCCAATTTTGAAGTTTACTTAAAGTTGTCATTAACTTTCATGTTTCTTTCCTGTTGCTATTGAATGAACCTCATAAGCTTAGGTTTTAGCCTAATTATTCAAGAAAATATAAATGAAATCTTAATATGACGTTGTTAATATGACGGTACATATGACGGTCGAATTTAAAAGAAATATATATCCATACATGTATGACGTCCAAGACGACGATTTACTTTCACCATAACAGTGAATTTATCATCAAAGAAGTCTTAAAGGGATATTTGAGTTCTTGTTTCGGACCGCAAATGCCTTCAAAGTGCATGGTTATTGCTCTTATTTTTATTTATGACATTTCTAGTGCCCTTTAAGGACCTAAAATTGCCATGAAGGTAATTTTAGACCCTAAAATGTGTGGAAATTTAGCCAATACGGTCATACCACTTCAGCCCTACTTAAGAAAAAATACGGTGACCGTTAATTAATCAATTAATAATAACAATACATGGGCCGGCTTGTTGTGCGTACTATATCAATCACGAACAAGCCAACAAAAAGCCAACGTCGGCGTTTAAGGTGTTATTTCTTTTTTCCAACGGCTAGTTCAAATGAACTTGTATTTGTGGTGGTATGACAAATGTAAAATGACGTCTTGAAATGTCGTGCTACAGAAGGCTGTTGCAGGTGTCATGCAAAGATAAAAAGACAAATGTGTGGGTCCTGGAAAAGATTGGAACAGACTTGACCATAATAAGGGGAATCATAAAGAGAAAACTAAACTATTTTGGGCACATTGCTAGAAGATCTGAAGGTGTTGAGAAGCAAATACTGCAAGGAGCAGTCGAAGGAAAACGGGATAGAGGCCGTCCACCAATATCTTGGACTGATGATATCAAGAAAGTGTCTGGACAAGGAATGAAAGGTGCAACACTAATGGCAGGTGAAAGAGTTGCATGGCGTGCTCTCGTGAAGACCACAGCAGCGCTTTACAGCGCCACCTGAAGTTGATGATGATGATGACACAAATATTAGAAATTATTATATATATTGGATATTTGCGCCGTCTCTGACCCGATTTTGATCAAACAAAGATGATTATGTCATTTAAATTGTATGTTCTTTCAAACTTGACACTCCTTTTTTCATTACCTCACAAAAAATAAATGTGTCTAGCGCCCTCTGCCACAGAACTCAACTATCTCTTTAACAACGTCCTCATGCTGATTATACGGCATACACGTATGGGCTTTATGACCTACATTTTGCGCTTCCAAAGAATTTTGGATATTGTTATCCCGGATTTTAGCTCCGGTTAATTGCAGCGCTCGTTGCATTACAGGAATACTTCCTACCACGGTAGAGTATGACAAATGTAAAATGACCTCTTGCCAAAGGACGATAGTGCTCGACGGCAGGGATTCGAACTTTGTGTCTCATAGACGAAAGGCTTATTCAAAAGATCACAACATTTCTACATACCTTGATCTTGTTGAGAATCATCGTTGCCGTTTTGAGATCGATTATCTCCATCTCCTGCTGGGAGAAATGTTCATGCAATCCTTTATATAGAGTTATAAGTGGTGATTGCAAGCTTTTGTTTCGGTTATAGCTTGTCTGTGGACCGCCTTAAAACATAGTTAGCTAAAAAAGAAGATACCAAGAGGAGCAGAAAGTGTTTTCTCCCTTTTATTACTGTTTATTTTTTATAAAAACATATTATTTTGTCGAAATATTTGTTTTAATTTCCATTACTCAAGATAAAGAAAATAAATTATAGGTGCCCATTCTAAATACTAAATTATGATAAGGCTATTTGATTTAACAACGTGTGACAAAATATTGTAAATGCGATCATGTCAATTTTACTCAATCTTAAATAGATAAAATACGTGACAACAATTGCCCAATATCAAGAACAAGAATTTTTTTCCACGTTGATTTTCATTTTGTATTATGACTCTCTGCCGTCACATTACAAAGGGGCTATATTTGAAGAATATGGTAGACTTAACCATATAAAACACCGAGTTATAAACTTTCCTAAAGGAAATTATATCGTTAGGAAAATAACTGAATCTCTTTCACATTACATTATAATGCCGTTTGTGTTATAGTAAAAGACATTACTATGACTATACTACTATTGCGGTTAAATGAGACAACTGAGAGAAAAATACTGAACCAGTGAAACATTCCGCTACAAATGCCACAAATTCAGATGCAGTCAATGCGTTCTTCCAATATGGAATTGTTTGAATTGAGGGGGTATCCACCATCCAGTAAAAAAACATAGGGGAGGTCCCGTCAAACAGTAACTTCTCTTCTGTACAGCCATATATGTCGACCTCATCTTTTAAACTTCATTTTCAAACCCCTTAACCCTAATAAGGCCGGGGGGGGGGGCATTATGGCCCCCCCCCCCCTCCACAATTTTTCTGATTGTTCGAGAACGCATATGGATGGCGCCTCGCCGCTCGCTGACTTTTTTCTTTAGAGTCTTGCGCATTTAAAAAAAAAAAAAAAAAAAAATCGGACCTATAGTTACAAGGTCACGTGACCTTTTGTCTTTGCATGTCAGCCCGAAAATCGCTCATTTTTGTGATTTGTGTACAAAACATATGGAAATGTCATTTTTCCTAAAAATAGATCAAACATTGGTTATTGGGTCTTGTTTAAAGTTTAGGTGGTTGTTTTGGGAGTCAAAATAGTTGAATTGTAGGAAGAAATGAAAAGAAAAAAAAAACAATAACATAAATAAGTTAAAAAAACAATGAAATACATAAGAAATTATCAAAACAAGAGATAACATAAGGAATAAGCTGGCTCTTCCAATTTTTTTTGTCGTATTATTGTTCCAAATGGTCTAATGAATATATGTAGTGAAAAAGAATGCTTAAATATGAATAATATAGGATTTATGGGTAAAAATGTGATTTTATGACGTTATTTGCATAAATTACCATAAATATGCAAATGAGGGATTTTTTTCAAAAAATTGAAATTATCATATTGTTCTATACACTTCACTTGACATGCGTGCAAATTTTCGCGGAGATCGGCCGTTTCACGGCCGAGATCTTAGGGGGGGCCATAATGCCCCCCCCCCCCCCCGGCCGTAGTAAGACTTCAAATAGCCCGGCCTTATTAGGGTTAAATGATCTTACCTTTTACAACTTCGGAACTGTTTTTGGTTGATAGCTCGATGCATGGTTCAGATTCCGCTGATGGTATTGAAGATAAATATTGGTATTATTGAATAACACATTTTTTTAATATTAAAGTTAGAATATCTTATTTTATGTTGGTGATTGCATGTATTTACCATGCTTGATGGAATTTACCCATTTAAATCCTAATCGGCACTTGTATAAATTATAGTGAATACTGAAATACAACGAAAATATGATTTTTTTTTTTTGGTTTCATTCTTACATTGCTTATATATAGAAAATGTAAAAATATTAATAGGATTGTACACAAATCATGAAGTAACGGGTTTAAAAATGCAAACAAAATAGAAACAAAAGATAAGATTCGGTATTTATATAGTTTCCTTTATTATTTTGATTGTACATATAATTTTGCTGTGTCAAAAACTTTTTCTCTAGATTAGGAATTCACTTTTTCCATAATCATAACATCGTCATAAAATATAATCTCTGATTTATGCTCTCATACCGTTAATACGACATGATTCGGTGGCAATTGCTGTTTAATTGATAGCAATAAGTGATTTACAAACGTTGAGCTTTGACATATACACATCAACCTAGTCATCATGTAAATTAATATAAAACACATACCTTTATCACTTGTAGCATTCGAGTTGGTTTTACTTGAAAAGGAGCAATTACCTATAAAGGGAATGGAAACCCGATTATTATTCATTATCGCTTTATTTCCTCTATAAATTTAGATTGGTTTTGTAACTCAACCAAAAAAAAACAAGAACTAAGAATATAAAAATTGAATTTCCACGAATACTGTGTCCCTTCTCTTTATTTAAATAAAAACAGACGGGAAATATCCTGAAAGAGGGAAAAATAACTTTGTGTTTTGGGTTATACACATTGTGAAAAGGGTTGGGTTAGATTTAGCATATAATCATAATAATAATAATCATAAATTTATCTTTGATTGCCATATTGAATCCTTTTGAAACATTAAACAAAAAAATTATGATTATGTTGCCGAGTATGACAAAAATGCTCGTCATGCTTAATGCAAACATACCTTGTGCTTTCGATCTAACAATGACAAAGATGATGATCACAAGGGAGATGCCTACAAACAGCACAATACCTATTATCATCCCGGCGATTTTACCACTCGTCATTTTCTTTCCCGGTGTGTTTGGTACAGATGTTGTGAAGGGATCTGTTCAACATATTCATGTGTAAACAATAATTATGATAATAATAATAACAATAATGATCAATATGATGATAACATTAATAATACTGATAATAATGATAACAATAACAATAATATTAATAAAGTACCATATAATCCTTGATAAAGTACTCTGATATGATATCAATAACATATATTCAAAGTGAAAACTGTGAGTATCGGCACACAAAGGAACTTACAGTGCAACATTGTATTTATATACCAAGGGCTTTAATGGTTGTTTCCAGTGCTAGATTATTTATACCGGTGTTAGGAAGTTGTAATTAGGCTAAATCGGGACGGGAAATTAGTCATTTTGCAAAGCCATTCATGTTGCTCAAATCAACAATGATATCAATTTGTCTTTATTATTATGTAGAAAATTACATGTGTGGCAAACAATCAATAGTAAAGGGGGGCGCTAAAAGCAACTTATTAAGTGTTAGGTACCAATTTTCAGAGAGTTTTTTTATAGAAAATACCTGCGGGTGGTTTGATCCATGCTACAACTGATACGGCTTCGTTCTCTCCTCCAAATTCCGAAAAATATGTGGCGTTACAGGTAAAGTTTCCTGTTTCAAACACCTGAATCTGTCGACTGATATCAGTGGTCCCGTCATCGTTCTGCGTAACGTCGTCGGTATATGAGACACGTTTTCCATCCCGATACCAAATGAGTTCGGTTTCTTGAACAGGATAAACGTTGGGGAGTGTGCAGGTAAGGGTGAAGGATTGGTTGGTATGAATGCTGCAGGATGAAGAATCGACAGCCCAGGTACAAGGTGAGATCACTGGAAGCGTATCAGGGCGAAGACCTTAGTTGAAAGATGATAATGATAATAATATATAGTATCATCAGTAAAATCACTATTATTAATAATAATAATTATAATACAAGCGATAACAATACTAATGCTAATAATAACAATGACAACAACAGCAACCATAATCATGATAATACCACTAACATTAAGCAAACAAGTTGTAGGTGTCGTGGTAAAGTTGTTTATTCGCTCTCAATCCAAATCTTGCTAGTTCGAATCCCAAACCGACTCTAAGCTGGCCTGTGCGTGGGTAACTCATTAATGACGATTTACCGCTCTCAGCACAGATATCAACAGGGACCTGACAGTTGCTTGGGATATGATAATTGTAGGACCTTTACCAAAAACAGTTTTGGTGCTGATCAGGCTTCATGGGTAAACAAAATCATTCATATTATTATTATCATACATAACTGTTCTAATGTGGCCTTAGCGTCTAGGTTTTACGTGCAAATGTGACTGTTCTACAAAGTGAGTCAGAGAAAATGTCCCACTTTTAAAAAGTTTTATTGTTTGAAGTATGAATATTTAATCATGGGTTTCATGATATGTCTTGATAGATTTATCCTCCCAGTACATGTAGATACCATTTCATTTGAATCTCTGCAGTCTTGTAAAGATTATTTGATGTTCAGTCATGCGTGCAGAAATTCAAAGAAAATGGTACCTAAATGTACTGGGATGATTACTCTATCAAGACATATCATGAAACCCATGATTAAATATTCATACTTCAAACAACACAACTTGTTAAAGGTAGGCCATTTTTTTTCTGACTCACTCTGTATATTAACAATTGAATAATCAATACTTGTTCAAGGTCGTCATGGAGATCAGAAAAGAAACTTACTGAACACTTTGAGCTTGGTTTTGATATTGGGCACTGGCGTTTGCCCTTGCCGGTCCACGTCACATCGATAGGTCCCCTCATCAGCCACGGCTATGTCTTTCAGGATGAGCGTCGAATTGTCGTTTTGCAAACTTGCTCGATTTGCATATTCTGCTCCTAATTCTTTTTTCCCCTTGGAAAGAAACAATATCTTCTGAGGCCCAGTGCCATCGTCGTAATACCAGTATATGTTACGTAACGTGCCTTCTTCGAAGACACATGGTATGTTGACAGTGTCACCGGTCGTCGTGGACAGTTCTGGAGTGTTTCCGAAGACGCCGACTGCGGCCCATGTCAGTAAGGTTATTACGAGGATAGCTGAGACAGAAAGAGTGAACAGAGCATGTAACTTTCAGAACGAAATAGCTGTAAAGACACGTTATTGAATATGTTATACCTTGTTTGGCGATGAGCAGAATGTGAGGGTTTCGGCGTCGGTCATTGAAAATGTTCGTGAGAACGTTTATTTTGTTGTTGTCCTCTATCTCCTTCCTTTGCTCTCGCTATATTTCTCCACCACTTTGTCTAATTCCCTCTTCCTTCTGCCTATCTCACATCCACCACAAATGAACAAATATAAAGTATGATAATATTCTGGGTTCATATAGCGCTTCATGTATCGAAGGGGTCTCTCATCGTTTACAGATATATAATTTCCTGTCATTGGTCCCAGGCTTACCCACATACAATAAATTTATATTCTGAACTCCCTGGATGGCACTTCAGCCAGTTGCGATTGTATAGACGCCCATAATGCTAAGCGAAGTATATTGACTTTCACATCCAACCGGTCCCCATTTAATATCTTGTAGGGGAGTTGCAAATGTGGATTTAATATCTCACACGGGGCTCGCCAAACGACGTTGGTGCCGCGGGCTGGGATTCAAACCCGTAATCCTTAGATTAAATGGATAGATGAGTTCTGTTGCAGAGGGCGCTACACAAAATAATTTGTTTTGAGCTAATGAAAAATTGAGTGTCAAATTTGAAAGAACCTGCAATTTAAATGACAAATCATATTTGTTTGATCAAAATCGGTTCAGAGATGGCTGAAATATCCAAAAATATAACGATTTCTAATACTTTTACGTCGTATTTCAGCCAATGTTGGCGTTTTCGTGTTGGTTATATTACGCACAACCAGCCGGCCCATGTATTGCTATTTTTAATTAAATAATTAATTAACGGTCACCGTATTTTTGGGAAAGTGGAGCTAAATTGGTTTAATCGTATTTGCTGAATTTCATACATTTTTGGGTCTAAAATTACCTTCAGGGCAATTTTAGGTTCTAAAAGGGCACTAGAAATGTCATAGATAAGAATAAAATGAATAACCATGCACTTCGAAGGCATTTGCGGTCTGAAAACAGAACTCAACTTATAAAAAAGCCTCTTAGCATTTTGCAGATATTTTCTTTCCCTGTCATCGGTTTCCGACTTACCCACACACAATGTATTGGCATTCTGCACTCCCTGGGGAGCACTCTAGTCAGTCGCCATTTTATAGCCGCCCACAATGCTAAGCAAACTATATTACATCCCACCGGGTACCAATTTAGCATTTGGAGGAAAATGTAACGTCAGACCCTCCTCACCAAACTGGTAAATGCTGCCACCACATACTTTTATAGGGGTATAACCCTCACAGACGATCTGATAATCAAACCGACTGTACGGGAATACAAACTATAGCAAACTATATTACATCCCACTGGGTACCGATTTAGCATTTGGTGGAAAGTGGCAAATCTGGAATTAGTGTCCTGCCAAAGCTGTGGTTCAAACCATCATTCCTTAAGCCCCTTTCACACCGGATCTGCGTAGAGTGGCGTAGTGTTGCGTACTGACTACGCCGAAGTTAAGCTGCGTACTCATGAATAAATTGATACTTTGGCGTAGTTCCTACGTAGGTTATACGCACCGCGTACCTACGGCGTAGGCAATTGGTGTAGGGTTACGTACGCTTGCGTAGGCCTGGCGTAGGGTTGCTTACGGTTGCGTACGGTTGCTTACTGTGTGCGAAAGTGCCATGTGAAAAAGCAATAGACGCTCGTAGGAGCCGTGAGTGTAGCCATTGGCACTTTATAAACCTAGTTTTCTGCCCTCAATCCACTGCTGCCTGCTGTCCAGAACACATCACTGTTGTTTGAATTACAGATGACTGTTGTAATAACACAGGCAGAAAAAGATCATGAGTTGTTTGGGCCCTCGGCTAAAAGGTATAATACTCCAGTATCTGGATGCCCTGGAAAGACTAATAAATCATGTGGCAGAACATGAACGCTTGGGAGAAGAACAAGAACAGAGAAGGAAAGAAGCTAGAAGAAGAAGAAGAAGACGTGTGTGGGTAAAACCTTGGATCCAGCGCAGGCCCCTGCATGGGCAATATGAGCAGCTGATGAAAGAACTGCATGCTGAGGATGTTTCTGCATTTACCAATTTCATGCGGATGGGACTACAGGATTTCCATGAAATTCTGACACGAGTTGCACTGAGGATTACCAAACGAGATAATATCTACCGGAAGTCTCTGGAACCTGGTTTAAAGCTGGCTGTCACCTTGAGGTTTCTGGCCACCGGCAACAGCTACAAAACACTTCAATATGGATTCCGAGTTGCCCATAACACTAGTTCTGTGTTTATCCCACAAGTGTGCCAGGCAATAGTCGATGAATTATCTGACGAAGTTCTCATGTGCCCAGATACTCCAGAGGGATGGAAACAAGTCGCCTCGACCACAACCCTTGCCCTTTTTTCCTGGCATTTTTGCAGTAATTAAAGCAGAAATAATTAAATCCTGCAGATATAGTTCAGCAGCAACAACAGAGTCCAGCGGGACGAATAAAATGTAGCACTGCAGGAATAGTAATGAAAAGACCAGCAGGGATCAAGCATTCATTGTGGCTAGGCTGCGAGCAGGTTGGATGTAATACGTCTTTATACGTTTTCAATGCTTCATCGGACTGGCGTAGGGTAGCATATTGTTGCGTAGGATTGGCGTACAGTTGCGTAGGTTTGGCGTACAATTGCGTAGGCTTGGCGTACAGTTACGTAGTGTTGCGTAGATTTGCGTAATTGCGTAAAGTGTCTACGCCGAAGGTACGCGAAACAATTAAGCATGTTTATTTTTTTGCGTTCATCTCGTGTACCCATTTGCGTCCCTCCGCGTACAGTTGCGTAGGTCGGCATAGGGGTTGCGTACGATCGGCGTAGGGTTGCGTACGATCGGCGTAGTCGGTACGCAACTCTACGCAACTCTATGCAACTCTACGCAACTCTACGCAAGGCCCGGTGTGAAAGCCCCTTTAGATTGAGAGTCAATTGCCTGAACCACCATACCACAACACCTCCACACACATGTACGCATCAATCTCAAAGGTGATAACAAAACAATTCTACGTCTTCCGTGTTAATTCCTTGATGATCGGAATTTTACCCTGGAATGTAAACTATACCTAATTCTAATTATTCCCCTAACCGTTTGGTTCGAATACTCGTAAAGCATTAAACATATACATTTGAGGGAATAAAGCCCACAGCATGTAGCACTGATGTCATAACAGCCCCATTTCTGACCAATTTATTCCTCTTTCCTTGAAGATCTGACAAAGTCCTTTGGGGTTTTTTCTCTCGTGATCACGATGATCCAGTTTGATGAAATACAAGTAAACAAAGTTATTATTTACTTATGATAGGGTAGGCATAGCGACGTAGATTATGTCAACAATTGACCTACGAATGAGTCATCATTTGAGGCGAAGCCTACTAATCTCTAGCGATATGAATTACGTTCTCAACAAATAACATACTTCTGCAGGTCTATTAATAGCCAATATATAAATACTCTGGAAGAAACGGATTGTGAATATTCTGTTGCGAAAAGCCCTCTTTCAAGGCCACTAGGAAAACCTCGAAAAGAAAATGCTTATTCCTCCTGGAAGTAACAAACTGATTCAGTCGAAGACGCAGGTTCGAAACTGAGTTACGTCTTTCTGACGGTGACGTTATAGGTCGGTACCTGATTGATACACGTCTGTAAAAACCCAATTACATACACACATACACCATTAGACTACGGAGGCGAGTTGATATATATTCGGCTACACCAGCTACATTTACCGACAATTAATCCTCAACAAAAAGAAGGCAGTAAGGAGGAACAATTAATTAAACAGCTATTCAAATATGTCCAAAATCCAATTGATTTCTCACATTATGTTTATTCATCTTTACATATATTATTTTATGTATGTGTACTTTTTACGTCTCAATATTTCGAAATTTAACATGAGTGTAATAGTGACAAGAAAATAAATAAATGCTTATCTGCCAAATATCTGGGACATCGAAATGTCGTCCTTAGCTGAGAAATACTAATGTGTGAATATTCGAACCTAGAGACGTTTCACGTAACTATTTATTCATTTTCACTTGTCATGCATGTATATATATAAATATAAAACAAATAACTTAATTTTGATATCATCCGTCACGGCAATAAACAAATAATATTTAAATTAATTGATATATAAATCCTTGAGAGTTCTCTGCTAATCTTTTCTCTGTTTATAATACCATCACAACTTACATTTTCGGAAAAAAAGGCAATACAAATTCCACAATATACATAAAAGAACTCTGTTTTGTTCTACCAGCCCACTTCCCGAGTGATCAAATCTTCTTACCTTGAAAATCGGCCATGGCCTTTTGGTTCTGTTTTCCGCGATGTCAATAAATCATGGACCATCACAGTAATGTGCTAAAAACATAGCTCACGTGATTGTGTATCGTTCTCTTAGTTTATCGAGTATTTATAGACCACAGCTACGCGCGTGATTTATGTCAACAACACCCTTGAGATATATGCGTGACAAGAAAAGCTAATAATTCCCCGAATTAATCTCTTAAAGTCCAGGACACGGAGCCCTCTCATTAAAAAGTGTGTTAACTTTATAACTGAGCATGGCAACGGGTTGTTGGCAAACGTGTAGTTACGACGGTGACGTAAAACAACGTCCAAGTGTTATCATTCTGCAAGAAATTAATAGTCAACAGCCTATTGCAAAAGAGCCTCTATAAGGCCACTGGGAAACCCCGAATGGATATAACGTGCGTACACACGTAGGCGATTCCGCCATTTTCCTTGTAGGTGTTCATATTCGTGACGATACATGCATAACGATCGTGACCTTATAGTTTCATACTCATTACACTTCTGCAGCTAGGCGTCGTGGCGTGTGCCTGTAATCCAGCTAACAGTGGAAGGTACAAACTGATTCAGCCTAGGACGCAGGTTCGAAACTAATATGTCACCTCTTTCGGATGGTAAAGTTTAAAGGTCAGTCCCCAGATGTAAATAATCATATCTGATTGACACACGTCTGTAAAAACACAATACACACACACACACACACGGAATATCCACACGTAAAGCTCACTACGCAATACGTATATCAAAATGAATCATAATGTCATGTTTGCTATGTCAAGTCGTTTACCACCATCTACAAATATTTGTTTTTTGATATGACGATTCAGACTTTGACACCGTTTCTGAACAGCACGAATTTGAGCGATCTTAACCCGTATGCATTCTTAATCAACAGGAACACCTCAACAAACTTATGCTAGGAGTCCACTGGGCCAGCGCCAGTTGGTGCCAGTTCGCGCCAAAGATTATGTGATTAGCGCGTAGTGGATCGCTGTGGCGCCGAATTAATGTCCGCTCGGCATGTGTCGCCAAGTGGAATAAACTGGGTGCCATATGGCGTGGGCCAGATGCCACCCGGCTTGCTCCAAAATGTTGTGCCAGTTTGCGCTAGTTCGCGCCATTACACGGCCATTTGATTCCAAAATTCACCCTGTTGGCGCCATTCGCGCCAATAAACGGCTACTTTGCGCCACTTGGCGATTAGTTTGTGCCAAAGGTCGCCAGATTGGTTTGAACTTGCCGCCGCTTGGCGCTACTTGCCGACTATATAAATACCGGCCATCGGCTACCTGGTTCAGACCCTCCTCATCTGCTGTGACCTACATCTCTACTAAATATTCACAATGTTGATATGTCTGAGGCTTTTGATAATGTTGGAGTGATGATGCAGCTCCATCAGAAAATGATGAGAGATGCTGAGATGATGGCGCCGTGTGGCGCCATGTGGCGCGAAATCTCATTGGCGCAACTTGGCGCGCGCCATTACATTCCAGTGGATTACAATAGGCGGATTGTTTGCGCCAAGGGGCGATATGTTCGCGCCATTTGGTGCCACTTGGCGGACACTTGGCGCTGATTGCTCAATGCAAGTGGCGCGACGAAAATTTCAAACATTTTGAAATTTTCTTGCCGCCACATTCAAATTTGGTGCCGTTACGGGCCACCACGAGCCAGTTGGGAGGCAGTTTGAGCCACTACACGCCACTAGGCACCTTATTGGCGACACTAGGCGCCACAGTAAATTGGCGCAAACTGGCACCAACTGGCGCTGGCCCAGTGGACTCCTAGAATTAGGTGCGCTTCCCCCTCAACCCCCTAAACAAATTAATAATTATAATGAAATAAGATAAACCGAGACTTGTCTTTTGGCGTATGGTAATTTAGGCTACAGTCAAGCGACGCCCTTGTTAAATTATTTAATTTCCAATGTTTTGAAGTGTCCTAGCCAGAGTTGTTTTCGCTTTATAGTTTGGAATTTTACATTTTTAGAGCACTTTTGATCATAGAGTCAAATCAGAGTCTGCCCTTGACAATCATCCTATTCTCTATTCATGATTTTATTTACCCAACGTCTATACGATGGTCGTTTAGAGGAATTCTATTTTACAACTGTCCGAATTTCAGGGGGACAACCCCTTTTCCTCGGAGAAGCATTCCCCGTCCTCCTTTTGCCTATTGCCTTTCTACAGCTCTTGTAAACAAATGATGAAATCGCCACGTATTACCTACGTTTTTCAGCTTCATTACCGAATCCTAAGATGAAGCTACAGATGGAGCGTGTAGCTGACAGGCGAATATTTTCTATTTTTGGAGACTGACAAAATTACTTTATGGAGCACTGATTAGGTTTATAAAATGTGTTATAGCCATAACTCCTTTAACACATGTACATACTTTTCTTTTCTTATAATTTCATAATATATGAGGGATAATTTCGTAAACGAATTAAAAAGAAAACCTAAAGTACGCCCTCTACTATATCAGTCTCCGCTTAATTTTCAATGATTGTTCTTGTCTTCCATCCGTTTGGAAAGAAAAGTTCATAGTATTGTAGCTAAAGTCGTGGTAATAACAGCAAAAACCCGTGGAAGCACATACAGATGCTTTCAAAATGTGATGACATACTATACAAGAACCGAATGATTTTAACTTAAGCGAAAAGTACATGAGTTGATTTGGGTAGAACCCAGCCAATTGTGAAACTGCAGTACAATGAATATTTCTTGCTTTTAATAGTGAATGCCTTCATGGGAAGGGTATATTTCATTAGGATGGTGTAAGGTGTATTGCACTTTGCAACCTACTATATACACCCTGGTTTAATGTTAGCGTGAACTATAGGTACCGACAATTGATTCAAGACTTAAATTGATAAAGTTATCTGAATTCGTAGAATACATTTGTTTTTATTCATTTGAATAACTATTCGAAGAAATAGTCGTACACGCCAAGTTAGAGTTTCTCGTTCAAAGGCCAAGTTGACAAATATATTTCAAAGGGATGGTCCACCATTATATAAAGATGGTTTAAATTAAAACAGAAAATGTGAGAAATAAATAAGTAATATCCGATTTAAAACAGGAAAGCCATGAAATTTGCAACACTGTGACGTGTTTTGCGAGCTTTTTCTCCAATTTGCTCTCCATGAAAATTGTATAAACTTTTCATTTTTCTTAGTAATTGATTACTGAATACAAAAACTGTTAATATAGGGATTGAATATCGCCATATTAAAATTTAAGCTGAATCGGTATGGTTGAAAAATTTCTGAAGGGGAAAATATTATTTTGTATTAACTTGTGAAGTATTTATTAAGGCCCACATTTAGAAAAATCATCCCAGAATTTTCAAAGTTAGATGCTCTATGAGATTTTTTACAATATAATAAATGCCAGTCAAAAAGTTACACCATCAAATTGAATATTAAGTAGAAATGACAATAACAAGACGATGTTTGTACCATTTGCACACAAAAAAGATTATTACACGAAATCATTGTATGTAAGAACTGCCAACGTTTGCAACATGCTACAATGCAACGTAAAATATAGCCCAAATCTCTCAGCCTTTTAAACTTCACTTTAATACAACAATTTTCAAATATATAATATTTATAGGTAATATTTATAGGTAAAGGTAATTACCTTATTTCCTGTTCTTTAAAGGTTCTTTATCCCATTTGAAGGCCAAAAAATGAAAACGTAAAATTCCAACGGCATTTGAAAGACAATACTAATTTAGAACTTCCCTCAAAACGAAAGGGCTTGAAAATGACTTTTAGTGGGAAAATATTGACCATTAGTTGTCGAAACGACTTAAGTGATTGCATGTGTGTGTGTGTGTGTTTGTGTATTGGGTTTTTACAGATGTGTATCAATCAGATATGATTATTTACGTCTGGGGACCGACCTTTAAACGTCACCATCCGAAAGACGTGACTCAGTTTCGAACCTGCGTCCTCGGCTGAATCAGTTTGTAACTTCCACTGTTAGCTGGATTACTGGTGCACTCCACAAAGCCTTGCAATCACCTAAGTAATGGTCTGCTTTCAGATTATTTTACCACATGGTCATACGTTTTGTGCTGCACAAAAAGTCAATCAGTTTAATTTTGGCCATTACAAGTAGTGGGTTGTTGATGTAGACAAATGCCCGTGTAACTGTAGAGCTCATTTTATGTATATTATTACCAAAGAAAAAACTTGTCAGCAAGTCACTCAATATTGTCCGACAGTGAAGTCTAGAAGGTAAACGGGTTTCCTTGCATAATTTGAATACTAGGACACCGCTAACGTTTACATATCACAGGTAGGTCATACATGACATATTCATAATTCCTGCAAGTTTTTGTTACAGAATTTGATGTTGGCTGCAACGGAACATAGTATCTTTAAGTAGTAATCTCATATTGTATCAATATAGTCAGTTTTCTGTTCTTCAATTCAAAATCTTTCTGAAATAATACTACCTTTTAATGACACCTTCGTGCGATTTAATACTCAATCCTCTGATGATTTATTGTACATAATTTCCTGTCAACTGTTTTAAGTGTACATGCTTTAGAATTAGATTGTGTGTTTTTATTCAAATTTACGTCCTTAACCTCATTAGCATTATCATTATTATGATGATGATCACCATCATCATTTATTATCATTATAAGTATATCCAATAATATGATTACAAAATAAACTAGCTAATCTGTCTCTCCTTCTCCACATTTGCATTCCCCCCCCCCTTATTACATACACAATAATCGGCCCTTGTCTCCACCGTTTTCAAAGCAATTTATTTTAAAAAGGACATCTCTTCTATCTACATTAGCTGATAAAACCATATCACATCAAATTAAATCAAACGCTAAACGCAATAAATATCTTTCACATTTTCTACCCAAAATTTTCTCTCTCCCTCTTTCAAACACATGCACAAACGCACATAAATTTCTCTCGCATTCATGCCTCATTATGCTGATACCTACGATTAAGAACAAAAAGCAAATTTCCGTACTTATTTTTCAAAACTTATATTCTTTATTAAACAGCATCAAATGCACAAACATTATCATCATTATACACGAACGTAGAATAGAAATCTTCAAGAATGTGACTAACTGTATATGAAAATGTTATTCAGCTATTTTGTTTTAATATATATATATATATATATATATATATATATAAAACATATATTTCATTCTAGAATATATATTCGGTAAATTATGTTTAATGCTCGAATGACATAACGGGTTAATGATATAATCGAGATGCGTGCACAATGAACTTCAAAGATGTAAACTCAGTCCTCTTAAGCATTACACAAACTACAAGAGTTACATAGATGTCACGAATTGCGCATTTCAAGCATGGAAACAATACGTTGGGCTCATGTACCACTCACAAAATAAAAAGAAAGAAATACTTCAACAACTACAATGACACATTTGTCCATTTATGCTTTTTGCAGACATGTTTCGTTCCATTAGTTATTCGAGAACTGTTGGGTTACATAAGACCTTTGTGAAACCTTGCTCCCCCCCCCCCCCATCTTCTAAATTATTTTGGTTTTAATGAAATCAGAACAATTAGAGAAACAAATAAGTAAAAGTTTGAGAAATAAGAAAGTTATAACTTTTTGAAGTTTTAGTAGTTAAACACAATATGGCCACACTCTGACGTATCTTCCTACAACAAAAATTAACTCCCAAAAAGTAGTCCAAAAAAGTACTCTTCAGAGCATGGAGTTATGTTCAGAGCAACCTTATAAAGATACTATGTCCCTTTTGCAGCCAACATCAAATTCTGTAGAACTTTCCAGGAATTATGTCATGTATGTCCTATCTGTGAAATGTAAACGTTAGCAGTATCCTAATATTAAAATTATGCAAGGGAACCCGTTCACTTGCTAGACTTCACTGTCAGACACTATTGAGTGACTGACTGGCTCTTTTTCTTCTTTGGTAATAATATACATAAAATGAGCTGTAAAGGGAACATGAACATTTGTCAACATCAATAACCCACTTCTTGTAATGGTCTAAATTAAACTGATTGAATCTTTGCGCAGCATAAGACTTACGACCATTCGGTACAATGGTCTGAAATTCAGACTATTACTTACTGGCTCTATAAATCGACTTGACAACTAATAGTCGTTATTTTCCCACTTAAAGACATTTTGAGATATGGTACCTTTAAAATACTTGAAATATTTATGGTCACGTGACGAGCTCACAACCAAACAAAAATCAGTAATTTGTTGATGCAGGATATAATTTGATTATGAACACATTTGTAATTGAATTTTTTATTTTCATCATCATCACATTATAGTCATGGATAAAGGATTTAATACCAAACTAGATTTAAAAAACTGTACAAGTTACATGTAAATTTACATAATTAAAATGAAAATATCAGGTAAATGTAAATGTATAAACTATCTTACAAATGAAAACGGTTTGTCTGTAAAAGCAAAAAAAGGCTTGCCGATTGAATGCATAAACGGTTTACAATTTTAAATCTTTTAACGCAAAATAAACAATATGGGCAAGAACAAAGCTTCTTTGGAAAGGAAGTCATTGCTCGTGTGACTGCATGTGGCAAATAGAATAGTCGTGGCTATTGCTCGATTCCTATCAATTGACCCGACACGTGATCATGCGACGATCGCTCCAGGTTTGATTTCGTCACATGTAAAGGGTTAGGGTTGAGGTGGCTATTTGGGTTTTATGTATGTTTTTGGGATCAGGGTTAGGTACAGTTTTTGGTCCAGGGTTGAAGTTCAGAATTTGGAATATGTACATAATTGACGAGGAACTTTTGTCGCAGGAGCTAGTGTCGTACACACTCATTGCCACAACTAGTTCTTGTATTCAGGTACAAGTCCTTCAAGGCCGGCCTTTTCTACCCTTGATTTTCCATTCTTGCAATAGTACTTCGGAAGCAGCCGTGACGTCGTTAAGATTGCTCTTCTTTATTTTGTCTATGTAGTTGAATTCGAATCCTATTATTGCGAACAGCTCGCTGTATTTTCCGTCCGGTATTTTTTTGGATAAGTTGTTGATCTCATTATCCGTTACTTCTCTTCTGTTTGACCGAATAATATATATCAATATACCTGGAATTAATACATTTAATGAATAAAGGCCGCTTGCTCTATGAAACAATATTCCTCGAAAGGCAGAGTGGTAATTTTGGCATCTGATTTCTATCTTTCTTTATCTTATTTTGCATAGCAGTGTATTCTTTTTGGTTCTGAAAACAAAGTCTGCACTTTAATAAATCAGCAACATTTTACTTTTGTTTCCTATCACAAAATCGGATTCATAATTCATATTCATTGTGTCACATTCGTTGCTTTCCAAAAAGGCGAGAGATTTTGATATAATATCTTAATTGTAATCATACTTTCTTGAATAAGTTAAAGTTAGCTAATCAAGGTGATTACATCATTTTTTTGATATTCGCGTTAGTTAAAAGGAAATATGACAAAAAGTATACACGTGTTGTATTATCATAACTGCTACTCGGACATAAGATATCTAAATGTATTGTATATAGGTCTATATTCATTTTCTTTAGCTTTTAAAGGTTAAACGTTGAGCCTGCGTCGTTCCATTGGATCTCCACGTCGGGTGGGGATGTCGAGATACACGAACATGTGTGAAAACATACTCCGATATTCAGGGAAGGTCAGGTAAATTTGATACAAATAATCGCTGTTTTTAAAAAAATCCTAGAGATGATGCTTATCTTTTACGTTTACTTCTGTGAAAACAAATACGAACTCTTGTGAGTATCTACTTAGTATTAAAAAGAGTCAGGTCGAAACCCGAGTTTTCGTAGACTGGTTTTAGGTTTTTTCAGAAATTGTCGGGTAAACTTGAAAGAACATCTCTCTTCTTGCTAACAAGAGGGGTGTATTTCACAAACGTTACACCCAACCCTCCAGCAATTAGGGCCTGAGTATTAAAGAAACGCTGTGTAACCCGAAAACACTGAGATCCGATGGAAGGCAGTGAGCCAACGGTTGTGTACCTACATATCAGCTTACCTGCTTGTGCTGGATGCCGCTGAAGGTCCAGCTCCAGGTTCAGTGACTGTTTCTTGTTGCCACCCTAACGAAATACATGTGTATAATAGACACAAATATTCACTGTAATCATGACGCCTACACGGGAATATGGTAGGTATACAATGGGTTCAATGTGACACTTCTATTTCATAAACTTTGAAGTAGAGACCAATTTCGAAGCTTATGAAAATTGTCATTGACTTTCGTATTTCTTTTCTTTTTCTAATGAATGATCCTCATAATGGAGACAGAACGCTTTTTTGAACATGTAGCCTTCATAATAATACAAGTGCTAACAAACGTAGTGCTCGTATTTGGATGCCCTAATACCAGTTTGAGCTGAAACAAGATACGAAGACAATGAGAAAGTGTTCCATCCCTTTTATAAAACTGTTATTATCTTTTACATTTTTTAACGGTTTTATGTTGGTCGCTCAGTAGATTTGAAGATTCTGTTAATATTATTTACAAACGAAGAATAATTGATATAGTATTAATGACTGCTTTGAGAGAAATAGTTGTTTTATTACGCTCAAGGGAAGGTTAGAATTGTGCTATTCCCCGAGGCTTGCCGAGGGGAATAGCCCAATTGTAACCTTCCCGAGAGCGTATAAAAACAACTATTTCTCGAATATTAAAGCAGTCATTAATACTTTTATATGCCGAAAAAAAAAGAAGAAAAAAAAAAAAAAATTTACATTGTTGTCGAAGACGGGATTCGAACTCTTGCGTACAACAAGAGGTGTATCGAAAACCAACGCTTAGACCACTCGGCTATCGCGCGCCGTTAACATGCTTGGCAGTTTTCTCCAATATATACATTAAAATGAATTGAAAACGGCTCCGCGTGAGGGATGCTTCGCAAAAGCTCCATGAAACGGACCCTTCTTTTACTTTTGCAATGCATATTGGCACGAACTTAGATCAAGATCTATCGGCAGATGTTGTTTTTTTGTTTTTGAGAGTTAATTTTCGTCTTCATGTCAACAATGCAAGATAAAATTGTCGGTAAGATCGATCGAGATTCAATTGTATTGAAATTGCCGACCAATTTTTCGCACACGTATGGTATCCTCCATCGCTCAAACCATTTTTTAACATGTAAACCTATGGGGTAACCATGGAGACTGACCTATTTTTTTTAATAACCATGGTTATTAAAAATATTGAAATGTTTTAAGCATGGTTACCGGGAATTTTACAGGAACAGTTGAAGTTTATGAATGCAATTCGACCAATCAGATGGCTGGATTTCTTAAGTGAGGTATATAACACTCTATATTCTTGGACAATTTCTACTATTTTGAATGGGGAAAACATGATTTTCTTGCATCGCTGCTTTAGAAAGAAGATTTCTGTGATGTTTGATCTGATTGCTTTTATCAGATTTGAATATTTGGAAGCGCAACGCAAATCAATTATTGTTCATGGCGTCGGGTAAGATAAAAATAAAAAAAAAGGGGGGGGGGAGGCCACAATACGCTCAAATTATTCTGAGTAGGAATTGAGCTTATCAAATTATCATGACGTGCATATTTCTCTTTGTTCGGCAGATTGATTTTCTTAAGCCAAGCATGGCGCTCGTGTTTGTTGTTGTTCAAAGTCCGGAGGCTTATGCAATAGACAACGACACTTATACATACCTTCATCGTGATGGGAATCATCGTCGCTGTTCTGAGGATCTCTATCTCCTGGTGGGAGAAATTTAAATGCGATCCTTTAAACAGCCTAATAAGTGGTGTTTTCGAGTTTTTTTTCGGTGGGGTGCATAACCGTATGGGTTTGTGTTACTTTTTTTATGGTATGGTATGGTATGGTATTTATTGAAACATGCATCGCAGTTACATATACTGAATTGCACTTGGATATACATTGCATTTTAAAAACGAGAGTACAATTAAAAACAGTATCATTTACATAATTATAAGTACACGTATTATGTCACATAATGAAAGGAGGTTAAAAAGGGAAAGGGAGAGAGAGAGAGAGAGAGAGAGAGGGAGAGGAGGAGAGAGGGAAGGAAAGTAAGAGAAATAGAAAGAAAGGATAAGAGAGCGAGAGATATAGTGAAGAAAGAGAAAGAGCAGGAAAGATAGAAAGATGGAGAAAGAGAGAAAAAGAGAGAGAGAGGAAGGAGAGAGAGAGGTGAAGGAGAGAGAGAGAGAGAGAGAGAGAGAAAGAGGAAGAGAAAGAGAGAGAGAGAGAGGCAAGAGGTAAAGAAGGGGGAGGAGAGAAGGGGGAACTTGCCAACAATTAAAAATTACATACAAATTGACGATAAAAAGATAAAAGTATGCATTGCAACATTGACATTACGAATAGTATTAATAAGAAGAACAAACATCTGACTAACATGAGCGCTATCCAAGAACCCACTATTATTATTATTATTTTAGCTCACCTAAAAATCTTTTGGTAAGTTGTAAAATGTATAAATGAGAATGTTTTCTTTTTTAACGCAGATGGTAGTAAAAACATTTTAAAAAGGATAATAACAACGTTTTTAAGAAAATATTTATATATAACTACTAAATACAGGCGGATATAGCACAGAAGCAAGATTCAAAAGGAGTAATTGCAGACCTGCGTAAACTAATAGTGTTAAGATAAAATAACGGGCAACCAGAGGCAATTTAAAGTAATACATGTAATTATGAAATCGACAGTATACAATACGAAGAGTAAAGATAATTAACTGATAAATTGAGGTAAAGCGTATTGCAAATATTTACATTATGTTTCTACATTTAGCAATAATATAATTGTTCAATCCAAGATATTTAATTGAATCTGAAATATAATGCATTAAGATTCGGCGAATTGTAGATGTGTTCAGGCAAAGATTGCAATTTGAGAATGAATTATAATAAGCAAATTGTGATTTAAAAGAGGCTTTAGATAACTGGCAATAATTCATATAAAGAAAAAAAAACATGGGAAAGAAATGAGGTTACTAAAGATGACCGTATTTGTATCTTGATACAGAAATTGAAGTTATATTGACAAAAATACATGTAATTCACAAAGTTTGGCAGTATTATGCTATCAAAAAATATTGAACAGACCGGATGCCACATCATGGCTGGTTCAAAAGCCTTACTAGATAGGGTAAAGCACTTTTTCTGTAGCGTTCTGTCCTACACTTGATTTCACGTAGCCTATTACTATGTCTCAATTGTCTTCGAGAACACTGGCTTTCAGGTAACCACTCACGAAAGTTACAGTAGAGGGACCTAGCGAAGTTTAGACAGAGCTCTTCTCTTCTGTCTCTCAGAGACGACAGATTACACACTGTAAGAGCCTGACGGTAGGATTCATATCTTAGTCCTAATATTGTCCGCAGGGCACGCTTCTGGATTGACTCTATTTGAGCTTCCTGGTTTAGAGTTAGTGAAGAATTACTAGTATACAAATGTATAATCTTTCAGGAAAGTCAGGTGAAAGGAAAATTAATGAAAGGATTGAAAACTTAACATTCCGAATCAAAACTATGATTGAATTTTTCGAACTATCATGACGTGTATTTTTCTAGTTATTCGGCAGATTGATTTTCTTAAGCCAGGAAAGGCGTTCTGTTTTGTAGTGGTTTGAATAACTTGCATATGTGCCATCTATATATTGCTCGTATTTGGACATCCGTAAGAGCTGTTAGAGATAAAGGATTAAAAAAGGTACAAAGAAAGTGTTTGCTGTTTTCTTTTCCTTTTTTGACAAATAATGTTTTTAAACCTTTAAATGGTCTTACCATTTTGATTATTAGCGCAGGTTTCTGGTGATCTATCAAGGAGTTCTGAAGAAATATGTAAGAAGGAGTATGTAAGAATTCTTTGTTATATTATATGCATGACAGAACAATCATCTAGTTCCTTTGATAAAAAACCCTAGACTGATGCCTTTTCTCAATACTGAATACTAAAAATACGTTAAAAGGGCGACATTCTATATTCTTATGATGGTTATAGAAATTACGAGTTTACCACTAAGCAATGAACTGGAGGTTCAATACCCTAACTATGCAAGAAAATATCATTGAAAACTGAATATGATGTTGATATTACGGCCTATTTGACTGTCGACTTGAAATATAAAGGACTTCAAAGATAAAGATTAACTTTAACCTTAACAATGAATTTAATCTAAACGAAGTCTGAACTACATCCTTGTGTCGATTACACGCCGTACGGGCTTCACGATCTACATTTGGGGATTCCAAAGAAATTTTGAAATTATTATCCCGGCTTTAAGCTCCCGGAATCGCAACGATTATTGCATTCAAGGAATAGATCCTACCAGGGTCGAGTGTGACAAATGGATATTGTGGCGTCTTGCAAAAGGACGATAGTGCTCGATGGCATGGATTCGAACCTTGTGGCTCATAGTCCAGAGGCTTATGCAATAGACCATAACACTTCTACATACCTTGAACTTGTTGGAGATCATCGTTCCTGTTCTGAAAATTTGAAGGATTTCCACCTCCTGCTGGGAGAAATGAGAAATGCGAAATGCGAAATGCGAAATGCGAAATGCGAAATGCGAAATGAGAAATGAGAAATACGAAATGCAAAATGAGAAATGCGAAATGCGAAATGCGAAATGCAAAATCAGAAATGCGATCTCCTGCTGCGAGAAATGCGATCCTTTAAATAGACTAATAAGTGGTGGTTGCAAACATTTGTTTCGTTGGGGGGTGAAGAGTTAAATGAATCTCCAGGAGCGAATTCCTGTGAGGTTAATTTCAAACCATACCCTTGACCTAACAATAACCCTAAATATCAGAGAACCAATTAATCAGAACACCAATGAAATTATTGTCCAAAATCCCTTTTTGACGAAATAAAGTCCGGATCAAAACGGAGGGCCAATTTGTGGGGTAATAATAATATAAGCTCACATTTATGATTCGCCTTATACTTGGTTTCTAGACGCAGCATATTGGTGGGTCTCATATATGGGAGCATTGAGCTTGAAAACAAATGAAACCTTAGTATTCTTTTTCATATCAATGCCTCAATAAACATGATTAATTTTACTTGGTTGTATGATTTACATGACCAAAGAAACATATAGGTACACTTTGTTTCCGCAAATATTTGTGTCCTGTCTCTAATATTTAAAAATATAACAAATATAGACGGAAAATATCTCGAAATAGAAAACAAAAACAATAATAGGCGAAGATCAAGATGTACAAAGTGTGTAGTATAAGGGCGACACCCTTTGAAAATTAGTTGGGTTCAATTTACCCGATAAAAGTTCATTCAGATATTATGACGCGGTAAACCGCGGTTTTTCTTATATGTGAAAGTGAATGGCAACTGCGCGCCACAAAGGTCTCAACGAGACCTACTGGGAAAGACTTGGGAATAGGCATATTTATTTGGTGAAATCTAACAAAATATAGGGTAAAATTTACTAAATATCGGATAAGATATTACCAACAAAAACCATGTTCCCTTTTATTTAACTAACCTTATTTTAGATTGCATTATTCTTTTTTCAAATATTTAAAAAACAAAGATTTTGTTTTCGGGTACGAAAACAAGTTTCGTCATATTTCATATGGAAATTAAACTTGCCTCTTGATTTCCGACGACAATAGATGATGGCCGTTGTAAGGGAGATCCCTACAAGCAAAACAATGCCAATTGTTATCCCTGCGATTTGACCATCTGTCAAATTCTCTCCGGGTGTGTTTGGTACATCTAGAGAGAAGTGCGACAATTTGAAGAAAAGCAAAAAATATATTCGAAATCATGAAGACTTAAGGTCGTTTGAACAGCCATGTAAGTTCTGAAGGGACATACTAATTATATTCGTGCCTCAATGATATTAATGATACTATCAATGATTATTACAATGAGAATAATGAGAAAAGCAAGATTGGACTTGTAAAAATTGCAAAATAAAATGGAAAGTTTCTCTAATACTACGAATACGCTTAACAATACAGCTATATCAATACACAATTTCATGCTAAGCAATTTCTACATATTAATTTGTATATAAAGTATATTGTAATAAAATTTGATATTAACAACATGAAGTCAAACATTAACGTCACGTGATTCTTATAATGCGTGCATCCAGTTTATAACATACTCTCACAATAGGACTAATAAAATCGTGTATCCTTTAAATTGCAGATAAAATTCTCCTTTTATTAAATATAGCAAGAAAGAAATGTTCTTTCTCTGCCGTATTGCATTTGTCGTGAGATTGATATAACAAAGGATTAATGATTGTTCTAGTGCAAGATAAATCTATGCCGGTTTTAAATGGGTTGTTATGGGGTTAATTAACACCGGAAATTCATAATTTTGCAAAGCCATATATTTTGCACGAAACAATCCCAACGTAAATTGGTGTCTTTTGTATTGTGCAAAACTGTACGTATGGTAAACAAGGGGACGTGAAGCGAGGCGCAGAAAGCAACCAGTGTTATGTACCAGTTCTGTCAATTGTATGAATACAAACCTTCTGGTGGTTTGATCGATGCTTCAACTGATATGGTTGTGTTCTCTTTTCCATTAACCGAAAGATATGTGGCGTTACAGGTAAAGTTTCCTGTTTTAGACACCTGAATCTGTCGACTAATATCAGTGGTCCCGTCATCGTTCTGCGTAACGTCATTCATAGAAGAGACATGTTTTCCATCCTGATACCAAATGAGTTCGAAATCTT